TAAACTTGCTTTTCGCCTCAGCGCCCGGTGGCTCGAGGCCCTCGAGCCCGCGCCGGCGAATAGCGCGGCGGACGGGCCCTGGCCCAAGCAGAGACTGAACCGCGGTGGCTCGAAAGCAGGGTGGGGGGGGGGCGAGGAGGGGGAAAGGGAGGGCGGGCGGCGAAGGAGGGAGAAGAGGAGGGGGGGGGGGCGGAGATGGAAGAGGAATCAGAAGAATAGGAAGAGGAGGAGAGGGCGGAGGAGGTTCTAGGAGCAAGCCTCCTCGCCACCGAATGGGGAGGGCGGGCGCGCGAGGGGGGGGCGGGGGGGGGGGGGGCGCCGGGGGTTAGACGCAGCGATGCCCCATGTCGAATTGTTCCAATCATGTCTCGCGCAAAGAGCACGTGATGCTGACGGCGCCCTTCGATGGGCGCGCTGTCGAGCTGCCGCCGTGAAGAATGAAGCGCGAAGAGCGAAACCTTGCTTCGGCCCCCCGTTCGCCCGGGTGCGCGGGGAACTCCAGAACGGAGCGACCGTGGAAAGACCCGCGGAGCCCCTGGCCACATCGGCGACCGGAGCATCGCGCCCCCGGCTTTGATGAGGCGCGGCCAGAGACGAGACTTAGACTGGGGGCCGCTCGCCATGGCCGTGACAAGAGAGCCCGGCGCCTTTAGCGTGGAACAAATAAATGCGAGGTCGCTGGCTTTCCAATGGGGCCCGGGTCGCCGGGCCCTGGAACCCAGCTGCCCACGAGCAGAAAAGACGGGCTGCTCGGGGGACTGGGCGCCAGGGGCAAGCACGTCGCCCGAGGGAAGGGCCCCCCCACCCCGAGCCGCGCAGCCAGGCAGGCCAACCCCAATGGCCGAAGCCACCTCAGCCCCAGCCCGGTCGGCCTAAAGCCGATGCAATGCGCCGACGCTTTCCTGAATGGAATCGAAAACCCCAGAATCCACTGCTTCCCAAGCTTCGCCCAGCGAGCGAACGATGGCGCGAGCCCCGTCAATAACGCGCGCGAGCTCACGGACAGGGGGGGGGATAGGGGGGCAACTTGCGGGGGCGGCGGAAGCTATGCGCAGTGAGCTTACTGAGGGAAGGGTGCAAAGACAACTCGCCGTCGGAACGGGGGGGCGAATCGCCGCCCTGCCTTGCCGACGCAAGGCGACTCCCTTCCCAAGCCCACGGGGGGCGAAAATCATTAGTCTTGGCACCGGCAACCGAGTTACAAGCGGTGTCACCTGGAATCGCACACTTGCCGAGCGAGCCCCCGTGGTCCGACTCGACGACAACAACTCGGGCCACGTTGAAGCCCTCTCCCATGATGCCAGGGCGCGCCATGGAGCCAATGCGGGAGCCAGCTCTAGAGAGGAAGCCAAATATGCCCATGGAAAGGGCCCCGCAGTCCTTCAAGCACAGGGACGCGCATAGCATCGGAATGCCGCCCGGCAAGTCCGAATGCCACTCTGGAGGGGTTGGGGGCCAAGTCCGTCTCGCCCAAGCATAGAAACTCCGCGGGGCGGGCCCCCGCGTGGACCTCGCCACGCAGGTGCGAAAAAAAGATGTCCAGCCGCTTCCCCCGCGCCAAGAAGACGCCGAGCCAATGTGGTGATTCACAAGGGATGCTCCCGCGCAAGGACATCGCGTGCTCTGGCGCTCCCGACCCAGCGCTGCGCCGACCCCCGCCCCGACGCGCTGCGAGTCTCCACGTCGGGCTGGAGAGCCCGACGGGGAACTAGTCGCGGCCCGCGGGCTCGAGGAGATGAACCCTTTTCAAGCTGCAAACACAATGGGAACACAAATCAACATCAAGACTCGTGCCAGCATGGGGAGACCAACCTGCGAATTCAAAGAATTAGAGACAACCTTGGCACCGCGGGTGGACCCCCCCGCAGCCCCCGAGCTAGGCCCCCGAAGAACCCGGGGGGGCCCGCCCGAGACAATCCCCGGAGCGCAGCTCGCTCCCTGGGGGCCGCCAAAGAAATCATGGCGCTGGCGAAGGACGGGCCCAAACGGAGGCCCGCAAGGGGGCAGGGTTGGCGCCAGTGGGCGGACGGGCAGGCGCCAGGTGGAGGAGCTCTGCTCGTCACTCCAGAATCCACGCGGGCCTGGATATTGACAAGAGCGCGCAAACTTGGCCCGCCTGGCACTGGGTGCGGCCCCGGAGAAAGGGCGCCCACTCTTGGGGAAATCGAGCGGGGGACGCTGGTGGATGGCGCGGAGGCGGCGGCCAATCAGGTTCGGCCTGCCCCGCTGGGAGGGGCCCTTGACAGACGCGCGCGGCGCGTTCACGAAACCCCTCTTCGCCGTCAGCACCGCCTTTGGAATGGCCGCGAGGAGGGCCCACAGGACCAGGAGACGAAGCCGCCGCTAATTTAGCAACGCCAGAATTAAACCCGTGGGCGCCGCGACCTTCGCGCGCCCCCTCCCCGCCGTCACCCCCAGCGCGCCTCCTGTCGGACTCGCCACCGTTTGAGCATCTCCTCCGCCCCCTTCTGGAACTCGTTAGCTTTGTGAAGAGCCCGGCCAAACAATCGCGCGCGGCTGACTGAAACTCAGCCTTGGCCCTGGCAGCTCCGTCACCGGCCGCCGCCAGCTCCATGGGGCGCAGCTCGTGCGTTCACTGGGTCTTGGCGAGGCCGTCGATGGATACGGGGATGCCCTCTGCCTGGCCATCGATTGTGCTCGCGATGTCAAATGGCCACTGGCGCATCGGAGACAGTGGAACGAAGTTATTGAACCACGAAGTTATTGAACCAACTTGGCGCGAGTGGCCTCGGCGGCCGCCAGCTCCTGGGACAACTCGTGCACCTTCTCATTCTGCCCGGAGAGATCCTCCGCCATGTTGCTGCGGCGCGTTGCAAGCCGTATCGGCCCTGTCCCGAAAGGCCCGCAACTCACAGAGCGCCGCGGGGGCCTTCTGCGAGATGCGCAAGGCGGCGGCCTCCTGCGCCTTTCCTCTGCCGCAGAACAACACGATGACGAGCAGCGCTTTCCGTGTCTCCGACAGACTCCAGCATGCCAGCGAGCTTCTCGAAGTCGGCCGCGGCGGAGACTGCCGGGCGGCGCCCCCCCCCCCCCCCCCCCAGACAGCGACCGCGGCGGGGGCCGCTGCGGGGCGCCCTCCCCGACAACGACTGGGGGGCCCCGAGCGCAGCGGGGGCCGCTGCGGGCCCCCGCCCCGCCGTTGCCCGCGCGGCCCAGGCGGCGACGCCGCGCCGACGTAGCTGCGAAGCGCTTTGCAACGCTCGCAGAACCACCGCCCAGCGCGACTTTTGCGCGAAGAGACGCAGCAAAAGGCGGCCCTAGCCTGTCCGCAGCGGCGTGAGAATAGGGGTGGGAGGGGAGGGGGGGGGGGGGGGGGAGAGGAGGGCGAGATGAGGGGGCGGGGGGGAAAGGGGGGGGGGGCAGGAGACGGAGGAGGAAGTTTCAGGACCAGTGCTACTCACCGCCGAATTAACAGGTTTTTTTTTGGGGGGGAAGGGGGGGGGGCATCGGCGGTCGAGCGCAGCGATGTCTCAGACAGAAGTGTCCAAAGAAGGTCTCGTGCAAGGAGTGCAGAGATCTGCGGACATCCTTCGGTGGGCATGCTGTCAAACTGCTACCGGGAAGGATTGCAACGCGAGGGTCGAAGCCCCGCTTCGGGCCCCCGTTCGCCTGGATGCACGAATAACTCCAGAAAGCAACGACCGTGGAAAGACCCGGGGAACAGCGAGACCCCCCCGAACTCGCGCTGCCCCTTGTTTCAGCGTCTTGGCTGCGCAGGCGAGCCAGACCCTCGATGCCGTAATTGTTCACAGCGTCGACTCTCAGAGGTCTCGACCTCTTCCCCGGGGCAAGCCTTTCACCCCGAAGCGTGCTTTGGCGGTCCCGAAGCACGGGCGAGGGCCCCCATAGGACGACGCTCACGAAACACGCGCAGCCGCGATACTTCCACGAGGAGGTCTTGGGGTCAGGACGCTCCGCCACTGCTTGAAGCCTTCGCGGCGGCCGCGCGCAGCCGGGCGCCGGGCGGCCCCGCGGCCCCGCGCGCGCCAGAGCTCGCGGGGGGCCAGCCCCGCGCTGCCCGCGGCTGGCCCGCCACGCCCCAGGGAGGCCCACGGGCGCCGCTCTGGCTAGAGGGGCCAGGGGGAGCACAAACGACCTGACGCGACATCCAGGCCCCCCCCCCCCCCCCCACTCAGACCCCCTCGCGCAGTCAAAGATTGCGACGGGCTGTATTTCATCATCTTCGGCCTCTGGGGGCCTTTTCCCAGGCCCCGGGACCGTCGAAAAGCGACTCGGGATGAAACGCCAATCTTCTGAAAAGGGCCAGACCTCTGGGGGTCGACGTTGCGAGCGAATCGCGACTTCCGCGGTCTGGGCATGCGTTGCCATGATTTCCTTGATGTTTAAAATTTCCGCTTCCCTTCTTCACACTTCTATGGACAGGGGCGTTTGTGTTTATCGCTATGCTTCCTTCCTGACTGAAGCCCCCCCACCACCGCCCCCCCCCGCCATGGGGCATCCGCAATTCGCTGCAGTCGCCGACGCCGCCGTCGCCGCATTCGTCGTCGTCGTCGTTGCCGCCGTCGCCGTCGCCGTCGCCGTCGCCGTCGTCGTCGTCGTCGTCGCCGCCGCCGCAGTCCCCGTCGCCGTCCGTCGCCGTCGCCGTCGCCGTCGACGTCGCCGTCGCCGTCGCCGTCGTCGCCGTCGTCGGGCCGAAGCTAGGACAAGGCTAGGGCGAGGATAAATCGGATCTGGAGCGTTCCGGAACACCCTCAGAGCGTTCCAGGGCGCTCTGCGGAGGCCGCGGCGCCCGCGACATCCTCTGGACCAGGCGGATCTCAGAGATTCTCGATTTAGCCTCGCCCAATATGATCCTCGTCCTGGCTTCGTCTTAGAGGCGCAAGACTGGGTGGCCGGCTGGCGCTGGCCAGGCGCCGGCGCCGCCGGGGCGAGCGCGGCGGGCGCGCGGCCGGCACGGGCAAGGCGGCCGCGGCACACCTGCGCCGCGGGGGCGGCGCAGCTCTGCCCCGCGGCGCGAGGCGCCCAGAAGCGAGGCCACGGCGGCGTGTCCGGGGCGGCGCGGCGGGGCGGTTCCGCGAGGGCGCCTCCTGCGGTCAGCCAGGGCGAGGCCGTGCTCGGCCACGCCAGCGCCGCTGCCCGCGCGGCGGGCGCGGGGGCGCTTGCCCGCGAGGGGCAGCGTTGAGCCGACCCAAGCCTCACTGGCGTGGGCTCGGCCCCACTGGCCGACCTGCCCACCCGTTCCTCAGGGCTTTGCGCGGCCTATGCCCAACTGTGGGGGGGTGAACTGGTGGGGCTGAAATACCATGGGCCAATGGGGATGGGGATAGGTTCAACGGCGCCGACGCGAGCCTGCTCGCGGGGCGGGCGGGGGGAAGCTCGGCGGCGGGCGCAGCAGCAGAAGACTGTCCTCGCCGGCAACTTCCCGGGAACGGACGACGCCCCTGATGGGGCCCATGGTGGCCGCCCAGAATAGCGGCAAAGCCTGTGGGATGCGAGGAAATTCCGAAATATTATTTACTTGGGCGCCGGATTGTTTCGGCCCCCCGCGAGCCCTCTTTTCGAGAGCTGGGATGCTCGAGGTACAACGGCCGCAAAACTCGTTATAACTGACGGTGGTTGCCCTCGCCCTTTACACGACACCGTCGCTTGCGATGACGGGGGATGGCAGAACAATCCTGACACGAGGCGCACTTGCCCATGGCGCTGGCACGAATGCTCTCTTGGGAAGGTCGGGGTCGATAGCGAGCCTCCGCCTCGCCGAGCCTCGTGGTCGCGGCCGAGGAGGCGTAGCGGGGGCCAGTCCACAAGAAATCTTCCACGAGAAACCCAACCCTGAGACCCCAGGACGCCCCTTGATTGTGGCGTGGGGGCGCCAAACTTTCCACGGCAGAGCCATCGAAACCCAAAAAGCCCAGGGCACCCAGGAAGCAAGCAGAGCGTTTCTTGGCATGGCCCCCCGCTGCACGTGCAACGCGTTTAGCGGACGGTATGTTTGTCGCCGCCCCCCCCCGCGCCCCCCCCCCCGACAAGGCCCTGACCCCTGCCCGACAATGCGCAGCAAGGGTAGCCCGACAGTCCGACGCTCCCACCCTCGCCCGCTGCGAAAAACTGTCGTTCAAAATCGCCCGCCGGCTCCCGCGCCCAGGATGCGCGTTCCGTCGGCGACGAGGGGGACTGGCGACACGCGCAAGGGGGCGATGCGAAGGGGGGCCTTCCAGGGGCTTCTTTGAAGGGGGAGGCCTCAGTAGAGAAGCCTGGAGGTTTCGAACAAAACTTTTTACAAACCTCCTGAAACGTCTGGGGCCTTCTAAGAAACCCCTGTGCCTTCTAAAGCCTTTTTGGCTACCTGCCAATCCCTCCCAACCGAACCCGAGGAACCAAATTTCAGGTTGGAGAGGGCGCGGTTCCACTATGTGTTTTCGATGTTCCCCCACCCCCCCACTGAAAATGGAGGGTAAACTTGGGCCGTCCAACGCGGTCCTCCTGTCGCGATGGTTGATGTGTCGGGGTGCCGACTCTTTGACGTTTCGTTCGCGTCGCGCCCACGCGATTCGGGCCTTGGGGGCGTAGCCAGGCCTCGCCAACGCCCCGCGCGAGCGGGGCCAAACAGCCAGGGCAAAGGTACCTCGCTGCTCCTCACAAGCGAGTCTGGTTGGACGGGGGCGACCCTCGCCTCCTCCGTCCATCGTTTCCCCTCCTCCTCCTCTTCCTCCTCCTCCTCCTCCTCCTCCTCCTCCTCCTCCTCCTCCTCCTCCTCCGACTCCTGCTCATCGTATTATTTCTCCTTTTTGTTCCTCCTCATCCTCCTCCGCCTCCTCCACGTCCTCCTCCTCCTCCTCCTCGCCCTTGTCCTCGTCATCGCCCTCGTCCTGGTCCTCGACATCGCCCTCTTCTTCCTCCTCCTCCTCCTCCTCCTCCTCCTCCTCCTCCTCCTCCTCCTCCTGATTCTCCTCCTCGTATTCCTCCTCCTCCGCCTCCTCCTGCCCCCCTCATCCTCCTTTTCCTCCTGTTCCTCTTCCCTCCTCCTCCTCGTCCTCCTCCTCATCGTCATCGTCCTCCTCCTCCTCCTCCTCCCTTTCCTTTTCTGCTTAGCATGCATATCCTTAATAGGTGTACTTGCGCTGTTGTCATTCGTATTAGTATTACGCTCCTTAGCAGTGTTATCTTTATGCAGACCATTCGTAATAGTATTGGGGGTTATTATGCATTTTCTTGTGGCCATCCTTTGCCGCCCTCGCATTAAGCACTGATACTATGTGTGAGACTATTTTTATCATTAAGAAAAAAAGAGGCCTGGCGAAGGACCCAGCCATATCCAAGTGTGAACAGTGCAATTGTGAATGCCATCTTCGCCCGCGTTCCCTATGTGGCCACGGCTTCCCGCCGGAACCCGACATGCTCAAAAACACGTTGGTGGCCGTCTTCGCGGGCGCCGGCGACGACGAGGACGGCGTGCCTCTGACCGAGGAGCAGGAACAACCGAGGGCTGTGAGAGCCATGAAGTGGCGCCTGCGGTTG